TTATTAAACCCTCTCCGTACGCCCTAGGGTCATTTTGTACCCCCGGGGTTGTATTCTTCACATTTTAGAATGCTTCTAGTACGAAGATTTCTTTGAAACTTTTAGTATTTCTAAAAAAAAATCATTTTGACAGACTGTTATACAAAGCGTACAGATCGGATTAAGGGCTGGTGGGGCACCTAGAAATCATGTTTTGGGGTCAAATTTTGCAAATTGGGTTTATTACATATTATAGTACCTGGACACTTCCTGAACAATATCCAGAAACGTATGTAAGCCTCGCTACACCCTAAAGCTGTGTTTTTTGTCAGTTTTTTCTGCGAAAGCACATGTTTTCTAGCTTTTTCTTACCTTTATAAGCTGTTTTCTCACATTTTCAACACGTCAGTGATTTTACCAATTCACCCCTCTGGCGACATAATTTTGTTTTAGTAGACGTTTTACGCAACTGTATAAGGTCATATGAGCGCCAAGGGGTGGATGTCAACAGAGGACGTCTAAACGGGGAATCAGGCTTACTCTGCTCACCTCTCTAGCCTCAACAGCACAAAGTCTACTTCGACTATCAAGGCATCCCAGAAATAGCAGTTCACAAGAGAGTGAAAAACTAACAAAAAAAAGTAGAGGAACATTGACGATAGTAAGGATGAGGAAAGAAAAAGCAGCAGTTCCCCATATGATGTTGTTACACAATAATCTAGGTTAATACCAAACAATTCTTGTGTTTGTTTGTGTCCCTCAGGGAAGGCATTGAGAAGATCTACAATCTCTCCTACCAGTGGCTGGGTGTTGTTGGCATCTTTACGACTCTCTTGGTGGGCATGATCGTCAGCTTTCTTACAGGTGTGTTGTATGTGAAGTCTTGTAGCTTACTGTGTTATTGTAATGTGTTGTGTGTGGGGTCTTGTAGTTTACTGTGTTATTGTAGTGTGTTGTGTTATGTGCTCTTGTAGTTTACTGTGTTATTGTAATGTGTTGCATTGTTCATGTAATGTGTTGTGCTGTTCATGTAATGTGTTGTGTCGTGTTGTGTGATCATGTAGTTTACTGTGCTATTGTAATGTGTTGTGTTGTGTGCTCTTGTATGTAGTTTACTGTGTTTTTGTAATGTATTGGGTTGTGTGGTCGTGTAGTTTACTGTGTTTTTGTAATGTGTTGTGTTATGTGGTCGTGTAGCTTACTGTGTTTTTGTAATGAGTCGCGTTGTTCATGTAATGTGTTAAATTGTGTTGTGTGCTTGTAATGTATTGTGTTGGGCTGTGATTTTAGTAATGTGTTTGCGTTGTGGATTTTTAAAATGTGCTGTGTTGTGTTGTGTTGTGCCGTGCTTCATTGTATTCTTTGTGCGCGCGCGTGTGTGTATATGTGTGAGTGTGTATGTATGTATACATGTGTGTGTGTGTGTGTGTCTGTCTGTCTCTCTCTCTCTCTCTCTCTCTCTCTCTCTCTCTCTCTCTCTCTCTCTCTCTCTCTCTCTCTCTCTCTCTCTCTCTCTGGGGTTCGGGGTTTTTTTTTTTGCAAAACCCATTATAAAACATCACATTGCACCTCCATTGACAAGTGACTGACATTTAAGCTGTTATATCTTCTATCCACAGGTGACTAGACCCACTGCCCTGGGCGCTGTACCTCGCCGATAATTTACAAGCATTTTATTTTAGGTTGACTTGCTTAGCCACTTTCCTTATTTAACTTCAGCACCTCACGATTTTCCAACATGTTGCCAAAAAAAAAAAGAAGAAGAAAAAGAAACAGAAAAAAAGGAAAACAAAAACTTAACCCAGACTACATCTTCATCTAGGTATATAGTTATGTTCTGACATTGGCTTTCTTGTACTTTGTTTCGTATTTTGACTGGTAGAGGGTAGAGGGTGGCCCGGGTTAGGTCCTTTTGCCTTGTTGTGTCCCTCTTACAATTAAAGTGTTCTATTCGCGCTCAAACAGCCTACGATATATTTATGAAGTGAATGAAGCATCGTTCATGAAACGACTTCTCAAACGCTTTGGGATTATTATACAACGCCTGGGACACGTACTGCAAATAACCACGAACGTCCCACACAAAGCTAAGGTTATGTAAAAACGCCCTGTCCAGAAAAGGTTAAAATAACACGTCAGCTGATACCAAAGATTTTCCACGACTGATAGGCCTACCAGTCGTTCCTAATTTCTGCAAACGACGTATGCGATCTAAAAATAGTTCGTTCTCAGAAGATTCGGGAAGGTCGCAGGTCGTGCAGAAGCTTTGGTATTTCCCACACTTTTTTTTTTCTTCAGCACTCATTCACGTATGAACTCGTCAGCTGTGTGTGGGTGTGGGTGTGTGTGTGTGTGTATGTGTGTATGGGTGTGTGTGTACACAGCCTAAATCCCACCAGATGTATTCTTACTCTACCCCATTGTGATGTGTGAGTATGTATGTGCGTGTAGGTGTGTGTCTGTGTGGGTGTGTGTTTGTATGTGTGTATGTGAGTGTGTGTGTGTGTGTGTGTGTGTGTGT